CGGAACCAGCCCCTTCCCCAGCCAGTGACCTCCTGTCATTATTTTGGATTTTTTGGTTTGAAAAGCAGCCGGTCCCACAGGGAGGGGCCCGCAGGTTAAGGGGGAGCAGTCGCTGGTGGGATCCTCTGAGTTGGGCTTGGCCCGCAGGTGCCGGAGGAGCTGCCCCGCGCATGTTTGGATTTCAGAGCTCTTGTGGCCCCGAACAGCTTTGGAAAGCCAGGGCTTTGTTATCCGAGTCGTGCAGGGAACCTGTGTGCTTGTACTTACAGCTAGAGTTGGAAACTTCCCAGGAATGCGTTGTTCCACCTGCAGGGATCTGTATTTATTTGCATTTATCTTACCGTTGTCTTTCATCTGAATAAAATGTGAGACGATCCACTCCTACTTGACCCACTTTGGTCTTTGCAGCTTCTCAGAGGTTCACTCTTTCAATTACAAGAAATGCTGAATTTATTGTTTGTTGCAAGCTTAAAGAGAAATAATCCCAAAACAGAGTTCAGCTGGAAATCATTAACCAGTCTGGGAGGAATATTGTCCTTCTTGGGAGACTGAAGAAGTCTCTTTGTCTGTTTTTTAGGCAAGAAGGAAAAGACTTTGGAACAACCCTGTTCAACAACTGTAGAAGAGCCTGAGCCTGAGCCTGAGCCCGAGCCTCAGCCTCAGCCTGTTCCATATGTTCTGCAAGGAGAGGACATCCAGGCCCTTGAAATAAGGGCGGAGGACCTGGAGAAAGTATGTATGAGTATTTTTACTGCTAGAAACAGCTGCCTTAACAGACACTCTCCTCTTGGGTGTTTAACAGAGGGTGCTTCCCATTTACTTAAGCCAAAAGTCACTCCTGCAGCTGAGTTCTCATGCCATTTTGTATGTCAGGTTTTTTATCATGATAAAATGTCAGCTCATCAGGTTCAGTTGCTAAAAGTAAAGGATTATAAGTGCCTGCAGAGTCCGTTCAAATGGAAGGATAAGTCATCTGTATCTTCAAAATTACATTTTCAACTTTCTGATCTATTAAGACCTGTAAGTTGTTTAGTAGCTCTCATGGCTTTCCTTCCAAAACTCAGATCACAGTATGTGAGTGGAAGCATTTGAATGACACAGAAGCAGAAATCTCTTCTGGAAAGTGATTTAAAACTCTCCTTTTGTGCCCTTGTTATAAACCAAGATCTAGAGGAGTGAGACAGTAACTGAGTTGGTATCTGCACAGCTGTGTAAGGTGTCTTGTAGGGGAAGAATCATAGAAGATTTGCCTTGGAAAGAACCTTAAAACTCCTCTATTTCCACCCCCCTTCCACTATTCCAAGTTGTTCCATCCCCATCCAGCATGGCTGTGGACACTTCCAGGGATGGGGCAGCCACAGCTTCTCTGGGCACCCTGTGCCAGGGCCTCACCACCTTCACAGAGAAGAATTTTTCCTAATGTGTAATCTAAACTTACTCTTTTTCATGCACATGGAATCCATTCCTTCCTGGTCCTGTTGTTACATGTCCATGTGAAAAGGACTCGAACACCCTTAGAGGAAGTGTGCTGATATGGCTGCTGTGCATGTGCTGAAAGGATGGGATGGGATGGAGGTGAGTCAGTGTGTGCCTCACTGCCCTGTCACTGCTCCCCTCCTGCAGCTCCACGCTCCGCGCCTCGCCCGCCGTGCTGCCAGAATTCCAGTTCGCAGGAATTACCTGGTCCGAAAATCCCGGCCCAAGGAGGTGGCACATCTCGTGGCACATCCTGTTCCCCCCAAGGCACCCATGGGACCGCTGACTTTTCCTGGTAGGGTTCAACTTCACATCTTACCTCTGGGTTTTGCTTTTGCTAAGCCAAACTTTAGTTACCTGCCTCTGGGGTTGGGTGTTTTTATATGTGTGTTGTAGGATCGAGACAGTTTGATGATGGCTGTGAAGAGATCCTCCCTCATCACATTTTGGGAAGTCTCCAGGAGTTAAGGACGGAAGCCTTGGCCAAAAGAAACACTCGGGTTGGTTTGTAGAGTTAGGAAAATGGTGCTGCATAGAACTTTTCCAGAGGTAGAGTGTGATGCCTGCAGTACCTTCCGATGCTTTCCAGCACCTATCAGGAGCAGGGCAGGCCTAAGGTGTGGTTTTCCCAGCCTCATCACACTCTGGGGGAGGGTTTGCCTTTGGAGAAACTGCACCAGCAGGTTTTGGAGTCCTGTGTGCAGGACCAGGTCATGGAGGGAACAATTACACACGCTTCCTCTTCCCTATGTGCCCTGCTGATGGTGCCAGGGAAGAGCTGGTGTTGCAGCAATGCCATTGCTGGAGTCTCATTACTCAGATAAACACTTCCATTGTATCTTAGTGTGTCCCCACTGCCCTGGTTTCCTTCCTCTCAGATTGCTAATGTAACAGTGCTGTCAATCTGAAGAATTCTTCTCCCCTCTCCCATTCCTGTTTTGGTGTGCACAGAGAGGTTCATTTAATGTTTCATTTCTCATCAGCTAGCAGGTGCTATTAAGGTTCCTCATCCAGATGTTACTGCAGCAGCTTTAGAAGAGGAGCATGGAGGAGAGGAGAAAGAAAAGGCACATCAGGCCCAACTAACAGAGCACAAAGCTTTCCAGAACTGGAGGCATCATATGGCAATGAGGAAAAAGCAGGAGAAACACCTAGGAGGTGAGAAAAGCTAAGGAGGTCTCATTCTATGAAATTCTGTGTGCAGGTGGAGAAGTTTGATGTCCCCACCCCAAATTGCAGCAGTCATTGCCCACCAGGGTTAATCCTGTTGCCATTGCAGTCTGATTCCATGTTCTCAGAGCTCCCACACTGCTCATGCTGCTGGCTCTGGATGTGGTAGGAAGGTGAGCTGGTGGCTCTGGCTGGGCAGAGGGCAGTGGGTTTGGCAGGGAACAGTGTAAGTGGGTTACAGGTGAGCAATAACAGTTGTGGCAAAGGGTGTGCCCAACGTGCAGCACCAATGATGTGATGTTTTTTATTTATAGAAATTCTTCACAAGCCAGAGAATGAATTGCTGATGAACATGTCAGACAATTACAGGCAAATCCAGGAAGAACGTGACCTCATTGACCGGAGTCTCCCTGCCCTGTTTCCTGGAAAGGTGAGAGCCCCACTTCCTGTGTGTCCTGATTGTGCTGCTCTTGCCACACAGCACAGACACTCTTCTAAGTCAGTCTCTGAAGTGCTGTCAGGAGATGTTTATCAAAGCCACTCTGAATCCCTCAGCTTGATGTCTGAGCAGAGCTTTCAGGGACATGAAAAATAAAAACCTGAATTGTGCTATCTATACCAGCCAGGGGAAAGTGGTGATGAGCAAGTGGCATTTCTTCATTCTCACTAAAGCCTGTTGTGCCCTGGGAAGTGGCATGGGAACATGTCACAATTGTTGTTCCAGGGGCAGAAATATCTGATAACTTCAGGCTTGGATTTTACTGATTGCCATGGAGAAAAGGGCATGGGTAAGACAGGGGGGTTATGGGAGTATCATGTTAATTATTTTTTTCACATTTATTGCACTGTCAAAGAATTTGCATTTGTGTGAGGCTTTATTTTAATATCATTTAACCTTCATGTGCACTAGATAGAAGAAAGTTCGTCTTTGACAGCAGCCTGATAGAAATTTTGGCTTCCTCAGCAGAAATGGATAATTCATAGACTTTTAAAATGCTCATACAGTCAGGGTTAGACCTCTTCTTTTTAGCTTCAAGTGCCTCTGAAAATAGCAGGTAGCTGCACCATTATCCACAACAATCAGTGGAGCCTTGTTTGCCACCCTAGGGATACCGAGTGGGAAGCGAGTTCTGGAGCCTTCCTGAGCAAATTGGGGATGAACTCACCGGGCTGACCCTGACCCTGACCCGGACTGAATGTGGGCACCCAGAACCTCTCACTCATGTGGGGAAACCCCGAACTGTCCAGAGGGAAACAGGTAAGGGAACACTGCAGAGAGGTGATCCCAAAGAAATGGGGCACAAGTGTGGAGAAGCAGCTCCTTCCCTGCTGAGTCTCCTCTTTAAAACTCTACAAGGCCAAAGTTTGGCAGAGAATGAAATTTGATTAATTGTGTGGGTGTGTAGGGAGTGAGCTCTGGTATTGGTATTTCCACAGGTCTGAAGCCTCCAAAGAAGATTCCTTGCCACCTAAACTGGGATAAGAGTCTTTTCCTGAAACATCGACGGCAGGAGCTGCAATCTGTCCTAGAGGAGCTGGGCTTTTATAAGCCGGTAAGACCAAAGGAGCAAGGACATTGTTTGTGTCTCTTGTCAGCTGCTGTAGAGTAACAAAATTGTCAGGAGTTGGATCTGAAAAAAGCATTAGGAAACTGAAACTTGGTCCCACAGTGTTTCTCGTGGAAGTTCCCACATTTCCAAAGGGCCGCACTTATGAAAGAGTTGTCTGACCTCCTGAAGTGCTGCATGGAGTGGTCTAGGGGCCTCAGAATAGGACCCCAAACCAGCAGCATGCAGCTTCCAGGACCTAGGCAAAGAAAAACCTGCCAAGTAGTGGTGCAGGACTTTGATTTAGTGCTATGGGGCAGAGGGAAGAGATCTTTACCCATGTGGAAGACGCACTCTGAAATAATCTCCTGAAGGCAGGTGGCCCCTCCTCCTACAAACAGAACAAACCTCACTTTTTTAGTCTTTGAAACCTGTCTCTGAGGATGAGGAATGTGGGAAGGACACTTTCTCTGTGCATCATTGCTAGTGGGGAATGCAGTCATCTGGGATTCTTGGGAATCTCAGAATTTGTTCTTTTCTGTGTCCCTTGAGCATCCTTTGGATGCCTCTAAAAACCATTGTAGGAGCAAGATATCACAACTGCACTTTACTTGGCTGACTTGGTGCATTTGTCTGGTGTTTTAATGTCCTTTCTGTGTAAAAGAGCAACTGTGAGTTGATAATTTCTGTGTATGTCCAGGATCTGGAAGGACTGGAGGTGATTGGGAGAGGGCAGCCTTTCACATCTGTCTCAGCTAAGGCTTTTCTACCTACCACCATTTCTGAAGAGATTGAGATCCCGTAAGTTCTACTTTGTGGCAAAATAAAGAATTTTGGGTGTGCACCATCAGTCTGTGAGGATGTCCTTAGCTGTTCTTATCCAGAATGGAGACAAGTCTCCACTGGGACACAATAAAAGGCATATTCTTACATTATAATCACTAGATCTTATATATAATCACTAGATTCTTATATTATAATCACCAGATCTACGAGCCTTTGTGCCTTGGGGCCTTGTGTCTAAGGAGCAAGAATCAGAGAAAAGTTTTGTTGAGGCTCTTCCACCAGCCTTCACTCTGTGTGGCTTCAGAGCTTAGATCAGGCAGGGTGGGATTCTACTCTCAATTACCTCCATTTGATTGAATTTTTCTAGCCTTCTGTCATTACTTTCCTAGTTTTCCCCATCCTGTCCATCTGTAACGGGCACAGCCTGAGGGCCTCTTGTCCTTTTTCACTCATGTACTTAAACAGGTCTCATTCTTTAATATTTTGGCTGTCCTGTCCTCCTTGCCAGTGACATGTAGCTAGATGGGTTCACCACATCTGCAGGGCTCTGTCCATAAAGAGAGTACTGTGTGAGAAAATAATAAACGGGATTATTTCTTACAGGGTCTTGTAATTCGCCCCTGGTTCTCCCCTCTCTGGAAGTGAATTTCACTCCATGAAAATGCTGGCTTTTGTTTTCTTTAACAGTGACTCCTTAGGTGACTCCTTCATTGAGGTTCCAGAAGCTGAAAAAGTTCCATCTTTAGTTTTCTGTGGCGAGCCTGCTCGTTGGATCAAGGGCATCACTACTTGCAGGGTAATTGTGAGATTTTAATTGTTTAGTCAAGCTAAGCCTATTTGAGCTCCTGTGTCACAGTTGTACAATAACTGTCATCCCAAAGCCACAGAATGGGGACTTACTCTGAACATAGTAGAGTGTCCCTGTGTTTGCTCCAGAGAGGTCTAGGCTCTGGTTGTGGTGTGCTGTTCAGATTCCCAGGCTCTGTCTGTGAAATGGCCACTTCTTTGGACTTGCCTTACAAGTTCTCCTACCAAGGCTCAACCCCTTGTTTGAGCTATGACTTCATGCAGGATAAATCCTGCCAGATAGAGTAGAAATTGTTCCTCTTCCTTGTAGAAGGAAATTGGTATTGCTGCCCGCCTCACCTTTGAGACTCTGGCTAGTGAGAAGGCTGAAAGCTTCCTGACAGTGACCAATGATGGCAGAGCTTCCATTTGGTACCACTGGATGAGGCTTCCCCAGCAGATCCCCTCCAGAGAAACCAGGGGGAGGAGAGTGCCCTGCTTTTACTTTGATACCAGACCAGGTATGAGGCCTGCTGCTCTCCAAGACCTTTGTACCTCAAGCACAGAGCAGGAATTTGGGAGTTACCTGGGATGTGGAGTCTGACTAATGGCAGAGCACTGCTGGGTGATTTCTCCTGAGGAAGCCACCCTGGGTGTCAGAGCTGACTCACCCCAAAAGAGCTGTGCAAGGCAGATCCCTCTCCTGGAACTTAAAGGAAAGGAGGTTGCTTCTGCTCTGTGTAAATGGGTGGAATATTGAGAAGTGAATAATTTTCTGGTGGCAAACGGGTCATAATCTTCTGGAGAGAAAACTGAGCTTGCTGAAGAAGGAGAGTGCAATGGAAATAAGGCCAGTTCAGGAACATAGGGACTGAGAGTAAATCTGGAAGGAGAATGATAGCTGGATTAAGTGTGATAACCAGCTAAACTATGGGGAAAGAGTCTCCTAGAGAGTTAAGGACACTTGGGGTGGTGTTGGAAAAAGGTCAGGCTAACCAGGTGGCTTCTTGCACACCCAATGCATTTTCTCTCTTATTTCAGGTGTAATTTTGCCTGGAGAAACTCTGAGGTTTTCTTTTATTTTCAAGTCAGAGACAGCAGGCATTTTCAGCGAGCCCTGGGAATTTAGGACACATCCCCTGTTATTAGGAGGAGCTCTGCTTCAGGTGACCCTTTGGGGAATTGCTGTGTATGAGGATAAATTGGCTGTCTTCAGAGAGAAATTGGAGGTAACCAAGCATGTAGCTGGGTAACTGAGCTTTGAACTTTATATGCAAATAGAGGATAAGGGTGGGAGTGGACAACATGGTATTTTTATTGTTGTGCAATTACTGCTGAGGGTGAGATTTACAGAAAGTCTGCACATACTTGAGCAGGTTTGCAAAATGACATGAGGAGCTCTGCAGTCTATTGTAATGTTGTTACTAAAGACATGACTGTGTCTCCTAAAGTGTTCACACTGGTCCTTTAAAGAATGAAATTTCTGCTGGTAATTAATTTCATTATTTACTTAATGGGAAGGGGATTGACTGCTGTACACTATGATAGCAGTTAAGGTATAAATTGAAAATTACACTATGCTTTGAAAAGTATAGTTTGGGGGCAGGATTTGTAGTGTTTATTTGAAAAGCTGTTGGAAGTATTGCTCTGCTCAGCAGGGTTTGCAGTTGTGACTCTGTATAATGAGTAGTGTGGTTACAGGGACTGAGTTTGTGTGTTTGCATATGGAATGGGGACTGACACGTGTTGTTCTTGTTGTGGTGCCTCAGAGTGAGCTGGCTGCTCGAGAAGGTGCTACCATAGTGAAAGAATGTGTGAATGAACTGCTTAAGCCAATTCGGACGCCCGAGCGCACCCCATCTCCTGTGGATGCCTGTGTCACAGAGGAGGAGCTGTTCCACAGGATAAATCCCAAGGTGATGTTTGCTATTGGATGGACTGCACAGCTGCAATAAGTGGGGAGGGCAGACCCACGGGGCTGCTGCGTGCCTGGGTTCTGAGCTGGCAGTCTGCCATGGAGGCTTGAACAGTTGGGCTTGAAGAGGGAAGGTGCAGCTCACGTTTACCTTTCCCCCATTGTCACAGTTGCATTATCAGCATCAAGTGGTAAAGCAGCTGCATAAACTATGGAGACAGCACCTGACTGTGCCTTCAGTGTTGGAGGAGGAAGTGCCCTTGGACCAGAGGAGCACTGCAGAGGACATGGAGTACCAAGAGAGCACCTTGGAGCCTCCCTCTGTCCAGAGCAGCACCACTGAGCTCCCGTGTGGGAAGCATGCATCAGAGGATGCTCCAAGGGAAAAGAGCACTGAGGAGGAAGAAGCAGGTCCTTCAGGATGGAACCTTTCCCTCGATGACTTTAAACAGGTGGGAACCTCTGTTCCCACATGCTGAGGGTGTGTTAATTCCCCTACAAACAGCCCAGCCTGCCCCAATGTGGGCCCACCTAAAGGCTGCTGCCAATATGCTGGGAGTTTGCAAGGTTTATGATGTGTGTTGGCTCTGCTGACCACACCCTCAGTGCTCTTGTAAAGAGATTCCCAAGAGAGGCTTTGTGGGCTGTTGTGTGAAGAAGAAAAGAGAAGCACACAATATAATAGATATTTTAAGCTCTTCTCCCCATTAGCTTTCTGTCAGCCCAGGATTGAATGTGGGGGCAGGCTGGGCTTACAGCCTCCTGTGGCTCCCCCAAGGGCTCTTCTCCTTGGAGAGCCCTTCCTATTCATCAGAGAACTAGGGGGGCACTCATGACAGGCTGTGGATAAAATACAGACCTGCTTTTCTTAAAGCAAGACTGCTTTGGTTTCTGTCAATGGTTTTTCTGTAGTGCTCTCTTGGAAATCTCTCTGTTGTTTTTATAACTAAGCTTTACTAGGGAGCCTTCTAGCTTGATAGAATCCCTGTTTCCCAGAACACCTGAAGTTGCAAAGGGGCTTAATATCAGTCTGATGAGGGAATCTGGGTTTGTTCTGCAGATCCTGGGTACCTTGGCCATATCCTAGCTGTGTAGGAAGCCCCATCTGGGTGTGTATGTGCCCAGTGCAGCCTGGTTTCAGACTGGTGTCCAGGAAGAGAGCTGTGGGCTGCTCCACTGAGCTCAGGGCCTGGGAATAAAGACTGAGAAGTGTTCCACAGCCCCTGTGAATTTTCTCTCACAGGCTATAATGTCAATCTCCGGGGAGGAGCAGCAGGAAGAAGCACTGACCCAGCTCAATAAGGCAGCTCTGCAGCTTTGTGTTGAACAGAGGCCAACTCAGTTAGACCTTCTGTATCCACTCTGGTGGGTTACCTTTGCTAGGAAAAGCTTGTGAAAACATTGTGTGATCAACAGCCTCAGCAAGCTCTCTTGCAAGTGTTGTGATTCAGAGTGCACATAATTATAGGAGGTCTAGAAGTCATCTTTACACTCTGGTTTTTTATAGCTTAATTGTAGCAGCTGTCTAGGACCCAAATGCCTTTTTTTTTTTTTTCCTGGAGATAAGTTTAGAATATTAAATGCATGTAATTTTGGAGTGTGTACAAGATTATTTCTGGCAAGACTATTCCAGTCTGTATTTATGAAACCTTTGGGTATTTTCTGTACCCTTTTACTCATATAACTGTCTCCTCCCTCATACAGTCTCTCTGTTCTTTGCTCAGACTTTCAGACTGTAAACATATCAACAGCTTTGAGCTGCTTCTAAATTAGAAGGATGCAGGTTCCTCTTGGTAAATACAGAGCAGGTAGATTTACCAATGTGTGTCATGTTGAAGAGCAGACCTAGTTTCACAGTAATATTTATGGGTTCCTGGGAGCCTGTTGATTTGCAAACCATTGAGACCTCGGAGGGCTCTAACACGAAGAAAGCAATTTAGGATCCCCCTGCAGAGGTTTTTAGACAGTGGGTGCTGTTTTGTTGGTTTAGTTGCACAGGCAGCTGTCAGCCATGAGGTGCCTTCACTTCTGGGACAGGCTCAAACCAAGTGGCAGCTGCTGCACTGTCTCCCTTCTGATCCTGACCATTTTCTCAGCCTCCAGCTGTGGCGTGGAGCAATTGATGACTTGGTGAGTCACTCTCTGAGGCTGAGATCCGTGCTTGGTTTGGTTAAGAAGGACATCTATGCAGAAGCTGTTCCAGAGGAAACAGGTAAATGGTGGTTTTAGCACAGCAACTGCTTTCTGTGGGCTGTTGGAAATGCAAAAAAACATGATGAATTTGAACTGAAATGTCAATTTCAACATGTCTCCCTGAGGAATAAGCATCAGGAAAATAACTGGCAGATTGTGTGACAGTAACAATACTAATTGGGATCTGTGGTTTGGCATCAGGAAAAAAACATCCCCACAAAAAAAGCCTTTTCATTCAGCTAGGTCCAGCCATGGTTTTCATACAGACTGACCCAGCAAATACTGCCTCAATGAGACCTCTTCATACCTTAGTTAAACAAAGAAGTCTTCAAGGTATTGTTTTTCAGTGCAGTACATCTCAGATTAACAAAAAGAGGATAATATATTGCAAAAGTAACGTGTTCCTACTGTGCTAGTGCAGTGGGATGGACTTTCTCGATGTGTGGATGCTTTTGGTTAATTGAAATCCTTTCTTTTGTAGAGGAAGTAAAGCAAGGAGGAGCAAAAAAAGGAGGAAAGGAAGACAAAATAGCTACTAAGAAAGAAGAGAAAAAGGATAAAGAAGGCAAAAAAAGTAGAGCGACATCAGGAAAGGAGAAAGCAGTAGGTGTTGGGATGCCTGGTGAACCCTGAGTGCTGGGAACAGTGTGATCATCCTGAGGTTGTGTATCCTGAGTTTGAATTAATTTCCAACCCAGTGAAAGAGGTGCTGCTGCTGGGAGCTGCATCTTGAAGCAGTCTGATCAGTGTCCTGACTTAGGTCCCATTTTTCCTTGGTCTGTCCCTGACTGGGATCATTCAGGCAGCAGAAAGCTGAAAGCAAAAGATGAGAATCAAGTATCTTCCATTTCTGTGCAGGTCATGAAAGGAGCAGAGTCCGTCAGAGGAAGACATGAGAAGCACAAGGTGAAAGAGGAAGCTGCAACTCCAGTTGTGGCAGCAGAACCTGTTCAGGAGCAGGTGGACCCTGTTTCACTTGAAGCATACCGGGAAAAGCTCTACATTGAAGTGAGTCTAACCAAAGCTTGTATCGTTGGCAGGGTTTTGTTCTTTTCTTGTAAGGCACACTGAGGCTCAGGGGGAGAGGCAAGCATTTTGTTAAACTCAGAAAACTGGCAGACATATGTCCCTTGTGCTGCAGCAAGGTAAGTGTGAAATCCAAATTAATTTGTTTCAGCCTGGAATCTGTTAGCAGAAATCCAGCCATCACATAGCCACATGCGGGACTTCTATCTGGGATGTCTTTAGCATTGCTTGCAGACTCTGGAGGGACCAGCTGAATTAATTGTACCTCAGATAATGTTAAACACACTTCATAGCCAGGGAAGTTATTACTAGAGCTCTGACAGCAGCAGGTTCCCACTTCTATGTGGTTGTGTGTGTGCCCATATGAAAATGTACCTCAGAAACCATCTCTGTCAGTCTCGGCCTCAAGATTTCCTCATGTGTTTTCACTGCAGCTGTCTTTGAATTTCTGCAGGTTTACAGGCTGCTGGATTCAATGGTGAGCAAAATGGTGTTGTTATTTGAGGATCTGAAGGAGCAACATGCTCTGGAGTGGGAGTGAAGCCCTTTGTATGTAGAAACAGACTTGCTTTTAAAAAATACAATAAATAACCATATTTACACAGATGGAGTGGAGATTCTTCTTTCTGAAGTGATTCAGTGGTTACAAATACCGGGCTGCTTCTTTTCTGACACACTGTGATGTGAGACTATTGCTAGATCATCTGTTACTGCTACAGATGATGCTTCCCAAGAAGAGACAAGGCAAGAAGTATCACCACTCAGAAAACATTAAGACTGGAAAATACTGGTATTTCTGCTAAAGGAGAATTTAAAAGTGCCAGTTAACATGAGGTATATTCTTTGTGTCTTGATTGTGCTTTGCTAGCAGATGAGTGAACAGGATGTCCTTGTACTCATGAATACTGGTACCAGGAGAGTAGACAAATCCATCCTGGGTTTTAGCTTATTTTGGGCATCTTGTCCAATCTCCCTTTGGGACTTGCTGACAGGAGGCTTCTCTGAGGCATTCTGGATCCCAGTGAAAACACTGTCCCAAGGGGTGTGCCACCCTGCCTGGTTTTGCACTCTCAGATTTCCTTCTTGTGCTGATCTTGCCATCTCTTTCCATTGAGCTCCAGGTACCCACACCCCATTCTGAGCCAGGTTTTACATGCTTCCTTCCAAGACTAATCACTCTTAAATGAGTGAAATTTGTGCTATAAAAGTTGTGAGCCATGCTAAATCCTCATGTTACAGCCACCCCTCCTGTCTGTCCATCTGCCTGTGTGTCTGGGCTCCATCACCACTTTCCATCTGTGTGCATCACTGCTGCAATGGGGCTTTTTGTGGAGGCATCCCAGGCCTGAGTGTGGCACATTGGACTTGGAGCAGGTTCTCAGGGCAGAGTGAGCTCTGTGTGGGGTCTGTCTTGGCCTGGTGTCAGTAAGTGCCACCTTCCTGCTAAAGTTGCTGGACAGCATTCCCCAGAAAGGCTTTGGCCCTGTAGAGCAATGACATCAGTGCAGATCATTAATTGGGGATGCTGATCCTGCTGGAGCTCTTAAGCAGCAGATGCCCATCCATGCTCAGCATCGCTCAGCCATGAGTTCAGTGCTCCAGGTGTGCCCCTAGGCACATGGCCCTGTCCCTGGGCACATGGCCCTGTCCCTGGGCTTGCAGCTGCACATGTAGCATGCAATGACTGCTCCTTCTGCTGCATTGGTGTCTTCTGCTTTCTCATTTTAACTCCTGTGCTCTCCCTGGGGAGAGATCTATTTCTCCCCTTGGCTCCCAGCAATACCACGTCAAAGCACAGCTTGTTTTTTTCACTGGACAGGTGAGGCTCCTCATCTTTTGAGATATTTTCTCATAGTGGGGTGTGGGGAAGCATTTTGCTTCTGTAGCAGAAGAAGCCTCCTCTGGCTCAGTGGGCAGAGACCCACAAAGGGAATGTCTCTGCTCAGCATTCCTGGAGTGAGAATTTCAGCAACATTTTGAGAATTAGGAGGAAAAAGGCCTGAAGTTGGGGTGTGTCTCACAGGCTCTGACAATTGCTCCTGCCTCCCTGGAGATGATTATCAGCTTTGTGAATTTGCCCAACTCAAACTGCTCAAGCCATCTGTTTCTAGGAGAGAGGGAGTCTGCATGTTCTAGAGGCAACGTGATTGTCGGAGAGGCAGGAATCCTTTCGTTTGGTAGTTTTACCTTAAAGGATAATAAAGCCCATCCATATCTCCATGGATCCATATCAACAGTCCAGCCTATTGAAACCAGGCTCCATGTGTTCATCTACCTACAGGAAAACCTGTTAATACAACATGGGGTAGATGAAAGTTTTACATCAGTCACGTACAATGGAAGAATGTCCTGTGCTGGCATTGTCCCTTCCAGGGAGGAGACTGATAGCAGAGGGTAGGTGGGCAGCATAGAAGTTCTGCAAAGGAGAACAAACCTGTGAATAGTCTAATTTCTTGTCATAAATTTTTGTCATAAATATTGCCAGTGCCTCTTCCAGCCTTGGACTAGAGTGTCCTCAGGGAATGAGGTACAAGGAGCATGCAGGAAAGGATGTGCTGGCCAACAGCTGTGGTACTCTGCTGTCTGCCTGCTGCAGCTTTTTGTGAGCCAGCTGATTTTTTTTTTTTCCCTTTTGCATTGATTTGTGGAAGTAACAGAACAGGAACTGCAGTGGAATTAGAGGTGGTTTCTGCAGAGTAGCTTTAGAAACATATACCTCTTATTTACATGCCTAGTGTGAGCTGTGGGCTCTGACCTTAGAAGCAGGACCCTCAGGGCTCTCAGCCCTGCACTCTGCAGGACACTGTAAGGCTGAGTCCTTGCAGCCAGGCAAGGAAATTATTCCTTCTCCTCTCCCAAGCGTGGGCATTATTTGTATTAGTGTTAATAATTTGTGTTGTGTTTGCTAAATAACCAAGGTGAGCAACCTTCCTGGCCTTGGGAGTTGCATTCCAAACCCATCATGTGAGTGGGGCCTGAAGACACCATCACCACCAGTGAGGATGGGAAGAGGGGGAATTGCAGGAAAATGAGGCAAGCAGAAGATGACAGTACATTTCCCATGGCAGAGGGGTCTGGGTGAGCAGCCAGGCTCTCCTGAGGGCAAGCAGTGCTTTGCTGGGTCCTGTACCCACAGTGGGGTTTTGGGACCCCCCACAAAGAAACCCCACATTTGTACAGCTCCAAAAACACCTCCTGGGATGTTCTCCCCGTGGAGAGATTCACTTTGCTTATAAAAAAATCACTGCCTGAAGAAAGGCAAGCTGTCTACCTCACCATCTGACAGAGTGAAGCAGAAGCATTGGGAATGGAGGAAGAGGAAGCCTGGAGCCCATGGAGCTGCCATGAAGAATGCCTGCCCCTTCCCGAGCTGGGATGTTCTCTGGGCTGACCTGCAGAGGGTTTCGATGCTGGAAATCCTCTTTTCCCACACTGCAGCTGGGAGTGGGACTAGATGCTTATTCAGCCTGCACGGCCACAGCCCGTTGGGAATGTCAGGCTGCTGAGATCTGCAAAGCCCCCAGAGGCACATGGCCTCCCCGAAGACCCAAGGCAGAACCCTGGGGCCAAGATGGATCTCAGCTCAGCATTTTGTGTGGCTGGTGGAAGCAGCAGCAGGAAGGCACGAGCCCCCCTCCCGCCCCAGAATGTCTCAGCACACCTGAGATGTTTTCCATCTCATGGAAAATGTCAGTGATATTAAAAAGATTATATATATCCATAATACTTGAAAGGCTGTCAGTGATTAAAATGGAAGGCAGAGGCCGAGAGAGAAGGGGGTGGCATTAAAATGATCGAGAGACATGACTTATTTTGTCATGTCATCTGATGCCTCCCTCTCTCGCCCAGCCAGGCTCCGGGAGATGTTCAGAGCAGGGGAAGAACCCGCTCCAAATTTAGATCCTAGCAAAAGAAAAAAAAAATAATTTAAAGAACCCAAATCGCGAGTGTGGCCTTGGGTAGCAGAGAGGGAGCTGCGTGGTGGGGAGGGTCGGCATCCCTCGGAGCTTCTTCCGCGCCCGGGGACGTGGATTTCTGTCTAAAAATAATGGGGGGGAGGAGGGGGGGGGGAGGAAAAGGAATACAGGCGCGCAGGCAGCAGCGAGCAGCGCCTGGCTGGCTGCCAGAGAAGGGGCAGTGACTGAGCATTTACAGCATCCCCGCCTCCCGCATGCGGCGGGGCAGGGGCTCGGCGCCGCATCCCCCGCGGCCGGTACCGCACCGCGCTGCGCCGCGCCGCGCCGGGGGGGCCTGAGCGCCTCTGCCGGTGCCCGGGCGGCCCCGAAGGGGTTAAGCCGGGACCTGCCGCCGGGACCTGCCCAGCCAGCCCGGCAACTCGGCGGCGCGCAGCAGGAGCGGGCGGCTGCGGCCGCCTCCAGCCCGCGCTCACCGGCGGCGGCAGCGGCAGCGGCGGCAGCACCGCGCAGGTAACCGGGGCTGCGCGCCCCTGGCTCCGGGCTGCGCTGGGGGGAGAGGAGGAAGGTTCTGGACGCTGGAGCATCGCGGGTTGAGGAGGTGCCGGGCCCCGGCGGGCAGCTCGGTGCCGGCCGCCTCTGGGCCAGGCTGGGCCCCCGCTGCGGCTGCGGGAGCGGGAGCCGGGCGGCTGCGGGAGCCGGCGGCGCGGCGGAGGGCGCTGCGGGGGCCGTTCCCTGCTGCTTCCCCCATGGCGGTCGCCGCTCCTCTCAGCCCTGCACCTGATTAGGGATGGAGCTGTAAATCCCTCTCCCGGCCCCCCTCCCCTCGCTGGCCCCTTTTGCCCCCCCTGCACCCCCCCCATCCCTTCCGCTCCCCCCCCGGCCGTTCCTCCTCGCCCCTCGCCGCTCCCGCGTCGCCCCCGCAGCCCCCGCGCCGGCCCGCGGGCGATGGGGACCTGGCCCCGCAGCCGTGTCCTTCTCCCACCTGGCCACTCTTGGTCAAGGTCACTGCAGTAATTCCATATGAGCTGCTGGGTGCTGCCGCCTTATCTCCCACACAGCTTCTGTTTCACTCCCTTTATATTCCAGGGAGGGGGGGGATGATTCTGTGTTTGATAAACCCGCAGCTCTAAACCCCGCTGGCAGCTCCAGCCCTGATTACGTTCCTCTCATCCCTGCCCCAGCCCATGCTTCCCATCTCTTTCCATTCAGACTTCCCAGGCTATCTCATGGCGGCAAAGTCCAGTTGGGGTCAGGTTTCTGGCCAGGATGAGCCATGCCGGGAGCCTGTCACAGGACCCTGGGGTTTGTCCAGCTAGGAAACCTGTTGGAGGCAGAAGGAACCATCCTGCCCCCTCTTCGGACTGCCAGTGTGCTTGCTGGTGCTTTCAAGGCTGGTGGCACCTTTGGAGATTGTGACTTTATCTCCACCTGGGTGTTGGTGGAAAGCGGAGCATGGAGCCAAGTCCTGGAGGACTTTGCTGTGTTGCTGCCCTTGTCCCAGAGGCGTTTCTGTGCCAGGCGGGCACTGGCCTGGCCGACTGCACCACGGGCTCTCCCGGCGGGATCCAAAGGCCGCGCTGACGCTGACGGGCTGCATTGCGAAAGGGAATCGGTGCAGGGAAGCGACTCGAGAGAAACTTTGTCCGCCCGCGAGCGTGGCGGTGCCAGGCTCCGCTCTGACTCACAGCA